TCCTTGCTTCCAGAAAATAAGAAAATGCTAGAAATCTTAATGAAAAAGGAAGTGAAATAGCACATCAATTTGAAGAACTTTCAGTTCTGTTTCCAATAGTATTTCAGTTCCCTAGTTTTCGAAGTGTAGTAGAAGTTCTCTTTGATATTTTACTGCTACAAAATGTCTACAATCCTCAACAAACGCATTGTTGGCAATGAGTTTAATGTCCTCGATGTCTGTTGAATTCGTCTCAAATACCTATCTTCTGCTTTCAGTATCTTCACCCGCATTTCGGTGCAAGAAAAAAACTGAATGTCATAACATCCTCGGAGTGAGGAGCATGTGTACAAAGAAATTCCAGTGTGCTTGTAAACCTTTCCACCACCTCCATCTGGGTCAGTGTGTGAAAAATAGAGGTAGGTCTATCCATCATTAAATCATTATCATTAAACAGAAGAACTATTCAGTTCTTCTGTTTAATGATGATTCGGTAGAATAGTGTACTTAGTGTACTTGTTCGATGTTACTAAGATAAAATCATCTTCTACAAAATAATAAAAGTAAAGAGTACGGGTGAAGTAAAAGCATAAATAAAAAATCAATTAAATGCATTTTCGAAAGGAGAATATCTGGTGATTTAATGACGTCTTTCACAAGTTAAAGACCCTGCTACATCAATATGTTCCTCAATGTTATATAAACAGTTTCGGAATAGAAACTTTCCAATAGTAATAGACTTAAATTTTGTAATGTTTATTGAATCAGGGAAGAATGATGATGATTATACAAATGTAAAGTTGGTGAATGTCCCTTCCTATTTGTTACTTTACTTCTGGGCATGATCATCACAATGTCTGCCTTTATAGTCATTTTCACGTGGATGTGGCTTGATGACAAGTTGAAAAAAAAATAACGAAATGGCTCTTTGTAACCTGCTTTGGCTATTATTATGGTCTTCTTTTGGCACCTGAAAACACTTATGGAGTTATAAGAATGACCCAAATAAGAAAACCATATGAAATAACTGAGTGAGATGAATCATAGTATGCGTCGTTATGTTGACAACACTTTTCATCCAGAACAAACAAAACTAGCTGTGCTAGTCACAGCTTTGATATAATCAGACAAGACTAATCTAATATATCATTAACGAATCTGGAAACTCAATACTTTCAGTTGCATGAATATTGGGATTGAAAGATTCAAATATATTTTGAGTTTTATTTTCGTTCAGAGTCAGTGATATAACTTCAAAATATAGATTATGGAGTGCCACAAGAATCGGTTTTGGGACCCTCTCTTTTTCTTGTATATATCAATGATTTACTGTGTATAAATACTTCTGGAAAAATTACTTCATTTGCTGACGACACCACCATTTTATGGCATAGTAAAACTGTTGAAGATTTGAATAATAAGATAAGCAGAGATATTAATGTAATCAAGTCTTGGTGGGACTCGAATCTTCTCTCTTTTAATATAAAAAAACAAATATATTAACTTTCATCTTCGGGTGATGACGATTGTTATTACTAACAATAAAAACGTCGTGAAATCTTTCTTTTCAATTCAATTTTCAATTGTTGCTTGTATTATATTTTATTGTAATTCCATCTCAAAGTTTTTTTTTGCTAGATACAACTATTATTTTCAGTTATTTATCTCAATTTATCGATTGTTTTAGGAATTTCATATTATTTTATATCATACCTGTTATACAGTGGAAGTCCGAACTGATGAAATTGACCATAAAACATTGTCAACCACCACCTCCAAACAAAGAATACTATCGATCTGTTTCAATGAAATACTACAAAATTAACGACAAAAAGAAATTTTTATAATTATGATTTGATAATTTTCGTAACCATTAACTAGTCAATATACCACATTAGCAAAGTGGACCATAAAACGAATCACTAAGTCATGTTGGTGCTATTTATGAGAGTAATAATTTTAAAACAGCAAATATACCCTTCAGTCGCTTGTCTGTACCTGTTAATTGGTTTATTTGTTATTTCCTTTGAGGATGTCCTCGAGTTCCAGATGTGCGACTCTTAAATCTACCATGAGATTTATTGCCCATTATTGAATTACACGGTCTACAGAGGGGTTAAAACCTACGGCGTTTGTCACATAATTTAGAAGTTCTTATATTATTTAAAGGGCTATTTCAACATGTTTGTGGCACTTCTGGGATGCTATTCATAGTTTGTGAGTCGTTTTTCATTTTGGTAGTTTGGAAGCCGAAAAAATATTACATCCAATATGGCGAATACATTATTTACATAAATATAAATCAACGACTTAACACATATAAAATGTCAATAAAGGAACTATTTTGGAATAACTATAATTCTTCAGACTACAAAAAAAAATTATAAAATGTCAATTTGACATTTCAAAATATTTACTGGTGAACAATTAATTGGATTTTTCTCTGATTAACCGATCCCAACAAAGAATCAGGATATCAATTTGATTCTCATCTTTTTCCTAAACAACAATTTCAATGTGGAGTCTCCACAGTCCATTTTTATCTTGAACCGAAAACTAAGAACATGTATCTATTAACGCCTGTCCCTGCACAATTATTAATTCAAATGAAACGCATTAAGTGTAGTCTTACTCATTTACATTAATTATTTTATCGATTCATCTTGCTTTTAACCAAAACGTGTCAAAAACGGTGCCAGCTTGATAATGGTTGTTTTCTGTATAATTCAAACAGCATAACATCATTAACTAAATGATAACACCATTTTCTAAACATTGATATAAATTATTTTATTTTCAGATATCATTCTACACATTCTACTCTATTTAGCAAGTACTGATTACAATGCATCAAGGCAACAAACGAAATTAATGGAGATAATCCATATTCATAGGTTTGTATCGATGTATTTGTAATACTAAGGTCAATAACCAGAGTTTTGATGATCCAAGACTTACTTTTTAGAAATGAAAAAATTTCAAGTTCAAAGTTAATGAATATAAATCACTTATAAACTTTAAGAAACTTCACTTTAAGTGAAGGCCAGTGCAATTTACCAACCTCTATTATATACGTTTCTTTTTCGGTAGTTTGAACGTAGAAAAAATATTACATCCAATATGCCCTATTCAATACGCGAAATATATTATTTACATCAATATAAATCAGTAGTTCAATAAAAGATTATTTAAATGCCAACTTTGCATGTTGGGACTCTATGGATTACAATATAATTATTAAATCACCATCAGTGATAAATTATCCTTCAGATTAAGAGGCAGTCGAGACTATTTTTCATCAACCCATTTTCAAAGAAAAAGAACATGTATGTTAGGTTATCGCATATACATTGCTATCTACTATCTCCTACTTTTTTGCCTGTTGACGTTCTTGCACTCTTAATTGTTTTTCTTTTCCAGATCGAGTTCACTTACGACGACTAATTGGCGATAAACAAATGATGATTATCCATTAATGTGCATGGCGTTTCGCTCAATAGGCAATCGAGAATGTATTTTGAACACATTCTGGTTTTTCTGACGATATCGTTCCATAGAATCTCAGGTAATTCTTTCAATAAGATGGCGATTGAAACATTTTTATTGTGTTCGTGGTTTGAAATCGATCAGATTGTCAAGTACTCGATTGTGAATGACCTTGCCAACAGTAATTAATTCCAAGAAGTTTCCGGTGTTTTCCGATAGTCATAGTTGCTATTGCTGTAGGCTGCTTTGGTATAGGACTCGATAAAATTAATAATTATAATTTTATGCAAATAAGCATAGATACTGCGGATTGTTCCGATAAAGCAGAGTATTATTATGTATATATCATTCATGAACTCAGTTATTTAGAAACTACCTTTCAGAAGTTTCTACAAACAAAGCAGGGTGTTAATTTCAAAAATTCTCTTCAGCGTCGATGGTCATTCTTGGGTCACTGGGTACTTGAAATAATCTTTGAAAAATAAATGGCAGGCATTCGTTTATCTTCCCAACTGAATATGTCACCCAGTTTTCGAATTTCTTGTGTTTTTTTTTCAGTTTTCGAAACCCAAACGGTTGAAAAATAGCTCGATACTTGCACCTTCATTCTTCAGATAGATCAGGAGTGTATAAATTGACTTGTGGTTCGTGTCCGATGTTTCACATAGGCCAAACTAGAAACACATCACGAGCACGCATAAAAGAACATAGACAGTTCCAGAATGAAAAAATGAATTCAACGTATGGTACTCATCTCTTTTCGAAAGGACATGAGTTCAATCATGAATTTATTTTCAGAACCAGACCTGGTCTGGTACAGAAATTTTCAATATCTCATGAACGTTCAAATTAAGCTGAATTGAGTTAAATACAGGGCCGTAGCGAAAAGAAAAACCAGGGGGGAAGGAATCCAAATGTTCTCCTTTTGCCAGCTNAAGGCGAATATATAATGGAAAGAAATTCAGAAAGAAAGTGAAAGAATACCTTGTTGGGAGGCCCTATTATAGTGTGGACGAATTCTACCAAGGCTCTATCGAATAATTGACATGTAGCTTTGTGTAAACAAGTTATTGAAACCAACACAAAATGGCTATCAATGTTCATTATGTAGAATTATATATTTACTTTTACTTAATATTCATAAATTCATGTACTTATATTTGTAGCTGTTCAGCTGGACTTAATATTGTTCTGTCCATATACTCTGCTCCGGTGTTTAAGCATTATTTTATAGTTTATATTTGTTAATTGTCCCTTATACATGTTTTACTTTACTAGACTTTGCCAATAAGATGTTAATATCTTGGGTAATAAAGCATATTTTGATTTGATTTGATTTGGAATCCAGAATATCCGCTACGGATGCACATCTTCACCGGCAGCAAGATATTGCATATCTACATGAGGATCTAGAGGTGATCCGGACCGGATATGATAATATCAGGACAGACAGTTCGGTTTTCTGCTTTGATAAATTTGTTGGAGTTAAAATCGATACCAATATATCTTGGCACAATCATGCCGCTGGAATTGCAAAGGCTGCTTCTCAGAAGTTTGGAACACTGTTTCGAACCAGAAAACTGTACACACCTCGGCAACTTTTGATGCTTTATAAAGCTCAGATCATACCATCTTTGGAGTATTGTTTTCATGTATGAAACTCCGCCACCAAACACCCCTGAAGTGGATGGATTCCATTCAGAAAAGAGCCATTTGTCTGCCTTCCACCTGATTGGAGACGCGAAAATCACTTGCAACCTTGACAGTCTGGAACATCGAAGAAATGGTGGGGATTTGTCTTTCTTCTATAGATACTTTCACGGGAAGTGTTCAAGTGACACATTTGATTCCACCAAGAGCGGTACATATCAGAAATATGCGACGGAATGTGGCTGCTTATCGTTTTGAGGTTCAACTCAGTACACCTCGAACTTCACTGTGTCAGAACTCTTTCATTTGGAGTGCGTGGAATAAACTTCCAGGGAACGATTTTCCGAATGGATTTAATTTCCAGCGATTCAAATCCAATGTGAGTCGCTACTTTCGCACAGGCACTGCTTTTAGAGCCCCTAGAAGATTTTCCTGTAGTGCTTGTGTTTTTCCTTGAAAAAAACAGTAGAACTTTTATCCTGAACGCAAAGACAGTGTAGCGTTCTTGATATATAATTTTCAATGTATTCAAAAATGGTGTACAGGGATTATAGTACGTGCAAAATTGTTCTACCAAAAAAAAAGTTAAGTTATGTAGAACCCAGAGACTGCGAAGGTTTCTTCATTGATTCAGTAACATCTCCTGAAAATAATATTTTTGTTACTTTGTGGAATCTCGATGTCATTAAAATGTCTGAAATTTTGCGAACTTTGTAGTTACGAAACTATAATCATTTTGAAAATGTATAGTTTGAACAAAATTTTCCAGTTTCCACAATTTCAATCGATTCTTTACCTTCCCCGTTGAAAAACTTCATAAATGAATCGAACTTGGAATGTAAGCATAGTTATGCGTAAGAAAACATCATCTTTCACTACTGAATGTGTGAAAAAATTCCCCACCAATTAAAACTCGATGATCCATCACAGGTTTATAATGTGAAAATTAATGATCACTTGAAAACATCTGAAAAGAGCGATATTTATGGGTGTTTTTGATGTGATTTCTCGACGCGACGTTGCCCATTAATGAACGACTTCAATTTAAAAGTTAACCGTGATTTTCATGTGACAGATTTCCTNTTGTATCCACTCCTCTCAGATAGTTCAAACCAGATTAAAATTAAATATCTGATCTGATCGTAGATCATAATAATTGTTTTTAGAATATAAAACGTTTTAATCTGAAAGTAGTTCATTAGATCGTGCTTGAGGAAACCATTGAATAGCGAAACCTTTGTTTTGTGAACCATCTGAAGTAAAAATCAAAATGAATCGTTTCAGTTAGGTTTAAATGTAGAATTGGTCTACGCATTCGGGTAACTATAACCAGCAATTGTTTTCCTCAAATTATAATATATTGCAGGATCTCCTCTTAATGGTCCCTGCGCATCAGATGACGACTGTGGCACAATAGACACCTACTGCAAGAATCAAACGTGTGTTTGTGCTGAAAATTTCGGTGTTTGGTACGACAGCTGCGTACAATGTGAGTATCCCAATTGTTAGATAAGAAATCGTTCATATATGGCAGTAGTTGTTTCAAAAAGATGTTTCCCTTGTGTAATTCATTGTTTATGTGAAAGAAACTCTCCTGTTTGCTTATCTGTATATGTAGGTATACATATCTTCATAATAATAATAATAATAATAGTTATATGCTTCATTGTCCAAAGAACATCAGGTCTTATCGACAAAGCTGCAAATTTTCGTTATAAAGAGTTTTTATTGTAGTTATTATTGTATTCCTTTCTTTGGAAGTTTCTCATATTTTTTGTTTGATGATGACCCCACGACGTCTGTTAGAATGAACAGTTTGTTCATCAAATACCCCAGTCAGGAAGGGGTACACAAGGCCACAGCGGCATAGATGTCATTGACCTTTATGTCCCCACCAAAACACCCTACGTCATGAACCACTCGTCCTCCTGACGAAATACAGTTGAAAGGGTAAGGGATAAGTTTCCAACCTGATCAAGATGAAGGTGACTATCGACGATGGACTCACAGTTGACTCTTGAGAGTAGATAGATTGAGACCCTTTCGTAGACCAGTGACGAGACCTGGGGGTTGAGATCCCAGCGTCAAGTCACAAAACCCTTTAAACTTGTTACTACCTATGTGAATAGGAAGATTGAGACCTCAGTGTAGTCACACCTTCTTGAAAATGGATTCAAAGCCGAAACGTCAAATAAAGGAAAACACTGTATGTAAGTACAGATACAGGAATGTAACCTTTGATAATTCAAAAAATTAATGAAGCTCATTTACTGGAAAACCTGATTTTCAGGTTGAGGAAGGTTACACAACCAAAAACATTATGAAATAATGTCTTTCACAATTTTTTTTTTTAAAACATACAGTTGTGATAGTACCAACAACGACTGTCAATGGAGAAAGTTACCGTAGCGAACTTTGTAGTTACGAAACTATAATCATTTTGAAAATGTATAGTTTGAACAAAATTTTCCAGTTTCCACAATTTCAATCGATTCTTTACCTTCCCCGTTGAAAAACTTCATAAATGAATCGAACTTGGAATGTAAGCATAGTTATGCGTAAGAAAACATCATCTTTCACTACTGAATGTGTGAAAAAATTCCCCACCAATTAAAACTCGATGATCCATCACAGGTTTATAATGTGAAAATTAATGATCACTTGAAAACATCTGAAAAGAGCGATATTTATGGGTGTTTTTGATGTGATTTCTCGACGCGACGTTGCCCATTAATGAACGACTTCAATTTAAAAGTTAATTATACAAATATTCCTAACATTCCGATATACATTCCTAGAATTCGACGAGGAAAAATTCTAGTCATTTGACGCTCGAGGAAATAGAAACAGAGAAATAATTCTTCACTTATCATATATGGATATTTTTAATGAGATGATTACAATTTATCAGGGGACACAATGAATTATATTTGCTCTTGACATTTCGAAATCCCACTACGAGGAATTCTATTCTGAAAGTTCATTTCTGCAAGGGAATATACAGTGTGACCCATTATTAATGAAAACACCCCCCTGAAATTTGAAGTTGTAAATTTTGATCATTTTTTTTTAATGTTAAGTACTAAAAGGTCTACCTTGGGACAACATTTGAAATGTGTAGTGAAGTTTCAGGGCATACTACGATATTTTTTCTTAGTCGAAAATCGGGATTTTTTATTAGTGATTTTTTTATTGAAAAAATCACTACGCCACTGGATTCAGAGTGCCTCTAAACAGGTGTGACCAAAATTTCATGAAAAAAATANTCTCTTTTAGCTTCACACTCCAAAGTTTGCTTCTTAAGTTCGTTGTCATTACAGAGGTATAAATTAATGATTTCACTTCAGAATTTTTCAAATGAATTTCGTGGAGTGCAAAGAAAGTCATGAGGTCAATCGTAAGAGAAAAAATTTGGGGCTCTGTCTACCGTGACTCGAGAGTAAAAACTTGAACAAGTTAGAAAGGTACTTAGCATTTTTCGAAGGAGTTATCATGCTTTCGAAAATCTCATGTGTTTTCCAAGATCTCTGTTTTGCAGCAACGTGTGTGATTGGTTGATGATGACAATGATCTCACTCTCTCTCTCTCTATCTCAAAGCTTCAGAGAAAGGACGTACTGAATAAAATTACTTGTGGTTGCTTTATTGAAAAAATACATAACCTCAAATTTTAATCCTTTTTTGGAACATTTGTATATGTCACTCTTATTATAAATGAATACATTTCCTCCAGCTCCAAGGCTATTCTCCAAAACAAAAAACAAAAATAATCACGTACAGAAGAAGCTATTAAATGGCCCACCGTATATTCCACAGTAAAAGTATATTAACAATTCACTTGGTAGTGATAACAAAAAATTTATTTTAATTACATCATTACACATGTTCCATATTTGGAAATTATTACTTCCATATGGGTACGCACTTTATACAGAAAAAACTACAGGCAATTTACAACGCATATTGAATTTGTCTTGTGTTCTGGCAATGAGTCAGCTGGTTATATTATTTTTGGTAATTAATAAAAGATATATGACACCTTAAATAGTGGCATAAAACAGTGATATTTTTCGGTACTTATGAATGAGGAGAACCTAATTGTGAAATCTCAGATGGTTAGTGTCTTATTGGGTTGTATTGAACCTACTGAATTATATACAGGGCGGACGAAAATACCCCTCCCACTCTAAACTTTTCAACGGGGCAAAATATGTTCCTAAGAAATAATTTTTAGTTCCCTTGGATGACAAAAGCTAATTATTGGCATCACTAGTTGCCCAGTTACTGGTGTATGAATTGGATCCTAGGAAAAATGATAATTCGTAACTTTGCAGCCAAAAAAGGATTGCGCATCATTTTATTTCGTTCAAATTTCCACAAATAATTCACATCAGATCTTTAGAGGAAAAAACAGAAGCAATCCTCATTAATGCCGAGGCCGGCCGTGATTTTCATGTGACAGATTTCCTGATACTCCAATCTGCCGAAAATATCTCAGGAAATTCGTTGAAAAAATATAAATAACTGAAAGTGTAGCTGAAGCTACAGCAGCTGTAGAGAGAAACCGTTAGTCAGACATAAACCCACATATTTTTCTTGAAGGTCACACTAAAATTTCTTACAATATAAATGTATGGGCAGGAATATTGGAAAACCATTTGTTGGTTCCATATATCCAGAGGAAAATCCGACTGGTTGTTTATATTTGGAAATTCTTCAAAACCTCATCCACCCACGCATTCGAAATATGTGTCCAACGATCAAGATGAATTCGAAAATCCATTTGGTTTTGAACAAAATGGTGTGCCCTCACAATTTTCAGGCTATAATTGATTGGTTGGATCAGATATACCGAGGCATGTGAATTAGAACTTAGGGTCTGTTAGAATGGCCTGCTCGTTCACTGTATTTGACTCCTATCGATGTTTTTCAAAATCATCACTTTTTCCAATAACCAGAAATGCAATAATCTTCTGGGACAATATGGGACCATACAGGAACTTAGAGGCAGAATTACCAAAACTTGTGCCAGCATTACCCCAAAATGAGTTCGAATGTGTAAGATAAATAATAACCAGGTTGAATATTATTGTTCAGAGAATGTGTGACCCCTCCAAACCTGTGAAAAATATTTCTTTATGGTGGACTCTTCATTTCATAGTTCTTACCGCAAAATCAATTAGAAGAATATTTTTTTCTCAGAAATCCCTGAAAGATTCGATAAATTGAAATAAATAGCTGGATATAACAATTATATTAAGTGAAAAAACTTAAATTACAATGAAATAAAGTACAAGCAACAAC